CCAAGTTAAAGTTAGACGCCCGCCGTCGGGAACGTGTAGTCGCAGGAGTCCTCGATGTCGACCTCGACCATCTTGCCGTAGTCGTTGACGCCCGCGGCGTTCGCGGCCTTGCGCGCCTTCTTGTAGAAGCTCTTCGTGAGGCCGTCCGTCGAGTCCTTGAGGATATAGGAGATGCCCTTCTTCGTCGCCGCGACCGCCGGCCCGCAGAAGTACCAGCCGACCCAGCGCGAGCCGTCGTCCTCCGTGCCCACGGCGTAGACGGAGCTCCAGAACTGGTTCTCCGTGTCCTTCCACACGCCCGTGCGGTCCTTGTACTCCGCCTGCGTGACGTTCCAGTAGTAATCCGTGCCCTCGCGCTCGTAGAGCATGGACTGGCGGAGCCGCGCGTCGTCCTTGCGCATGTCGAAGACCATGCGGTCGCACTCGAACTCGCGCGCCTGGTCCGCGGGGTTCTGCATGACCACGTACCAGTCGCCCGTCAGGTCGCCCCAGTCGCGGTCGTAGGCCTTGGGCACGTCGGGGTAGCCGTTCTTGCAGTGGTACAGCCCCCGCCCGTTCACGGCGAGCTCCGCGCCCGTGGACACGGCGCTCAGCACCGTCGTCGACCGGACGACGGCGGCGACGGCCGTGGCGCCGAGCATCAGCGCGAAGACGCTGAACGCGCGGCCGCGCTTCGGCTCCGCCGCATCCTTCGACGGCAGGATCGGCGCGTCGGCGGGCCCCATGCTGCCCCGCGGAAGAGAGGTGAAGTGGGTGACAACTCCAAATTAAGCATATCTTCATTGCATATATCCCTCGAAAGCTGCGATTATTTGAAGCCAACAGTACCGCCGCGGTGCCGCGTGAGGATTAACGTGAGGACGACGTCGCCTCGCGTACGGCCGAGGCCTCGGGACGCGCAGGATCAATTGGTCGCGGCGTGGCGCGTGTCCCGGCGAGACTCGTGTTAGATGGACAAAGTCGCCTCGCGTACGGTTTACGGCACGGCCGAGGCGCTCGATACACGTACATAGTCCATGCGCGAAATACGACTCGTGTTAGATGTCCCCCGCGAGGTCGACGACGAGGCCCGCGCCGTCGCGCGCGACGCCCGCGGTGTCGGCGGACCGGAGGCGGAGCGCGCCGACGGCGTCGGCCCCCGCGGCGGGCGCGTCGGCGGCCTTGCGCTTCTTCTTCTCCGGGATGAGGAGCACGCCGACGGCGTCCGCGCACGACTCGAGGTA